GCTTAATGGCTTCCCTGAACTTCCCTTCACCCCAAAGTCAGCTTACTAGGAATGAATACATTTTATTGATAAGCTCAAAAGGACCTTTATCTCATTTACTGCTGGGTGACCCAAGTCTCAAGGCCTGCAGGATGTGTAGGAGATAATCATTAATTCTACAAGACTTTAACTGCCTTATATCTGAGGCACATCTTCCTTTTGGGCTAATCAATACGGGTTTTAGCAATTAGCAGAGGAAGCTAGAGACTCAGGGCCCCTTCCTTGCTGGGAACTGCAAAGCAGATGTCAAAGGTCATAAAACCACCCTTTTGACTACACATGAAAAGTGGAAGAAAAGACTATTGCTTTAATTTATTATTACTAAGTAGTGGGACATTGTTTCAGGAATATATGAAAAGCCTCTCTATTATTTAAACATTAAAAATGTACTTTCAAATTTAACACCCACGAATATATAAGGTGACATTAAAATGAATATACCAGATTGAACTTTCCTGCCATAACACGTTACTTTAATCCTTCAAATAATTCAAATAATACTTCATTACATCTGTTTTACTTTGACGTCTCCTAAGGAAAAGGTTGGCTTTATTACACATACTGGTCATAAAATATAATTCCAGTGGCAATTCCAAGTGAACAAATAATAAATCACAGTTGTCTAATCTAGTAATGTAAATGGATGTAGTCTTTTACAAGCAATGCACTCAATGTGTAAATATTGAAAAATATCCTTTGGCTTAGGGCTGCTCAATTAATCTTATTTTAATCGCGATTGCGATTATGGCTTTCAACGATTACGAAAACAACGTAATCGAAATAAAACGATTATTTTTTAATTATTATTACTTTTTCTTATAATTTTTTTCTTTTTGGTTTTTCAGTTGAATTATACTTAAAGTTCAGGGTAATCAACTGTTAAAAACATACTGTTAAAAAAAAAAAACTCCAATAAATGGATGTTTTCAAAGTCAATTAATAATCGCAATTACAATTATTGACCCAAATAATCGAGATTATGATTTGTCCCATAATCGAGCAGCCACAGTAGGGCTGCTCGATTATGGGAAAAATCATAATTACATTCTTACATCAATCTCTCCCCGTTTTTTAACAGCTCTGCTACAACAACAGTAAATAATGAATGGCCTACACTTTCTCCGATATATCTTAATTCAATATTATAACAAACTTATATGGTGCAACCTGTTCTAAAAAGATATAGTATAACACCCACACTTGGTTTGAACCTAGCTGCATCTGGCAAAAAAATGTACTAAGTTTAATTATGAATGCTTACATCCGTTTGCATCACTAACATATTTGAATAATTATGATAGTGATGCAAACACTCAGTCATGCTGCTCTACATGAGTCTGTTTTATTTTTATTTCTGTACTTCTGTTAAACTTCATCATGTGAAGCCTCTTCTCCTTCAGGCCCGCAACGTGAAACACGAGGCATAATCGCTTTGTACGGCAACACAGCGCCTTCATTTCGTCTGATGTATGCTTAATAGAGCTCTTTACTAATGAGTAGCTTCCTCTGCTCATCTGAGATCACTTTTGGTACCAGGTCCTTTTCTCTGTATTGCTTTCCATTGCCGATAGTACAGTGTGGGCGGGATTCTCAGCTGATCGTCGTAGCAACACAGCATGAAACTGTTGGGGAATACAATTAATATTCAAATAAAAACCCTTGAGGGAAAAAGTCCTGCAGGGATGATGGCACTCATTAGCCTGTGTGGATTCTGAGGCAGCAGGGAGTGCAATTACATTAAAGATGCTATGAATTGTGCCACAGGTCCTTTTGTGGTTTATGTAATCTCCATAGCAACAACAGAGACATTTGAGATGCACAAATGTCAGACATCTGAGGGTGGCAGTGATGGTTGGTCCTAACTTTTACAGAAAACGTTTGTATCTGTCTACATGATTTTATATTTTACGTTTGAATGTTTTGTTTTAGGGTGTGTTAATGGTCGGGCCTCCCGGGACAGGGAAGACGATGTTAGCCAAAGCTGTGGCCACAGAATGTGGGACTACTTTCTTCAATGTGTCCTCCTCCACACTCACCTCAAAATACAGGGGCGAGTCAGAAAAACTTGTGCGTCTTCTGTTTGAAATGGTAAGTCTATATACACTGTGTAAATGGTTTGTTTAGCACAAACCTAACAACCACAGTGAGGATTTGAATATTTTGTCATGTTTCTGGAAAAAAATAATACTATTTTATTTTCTTAGGCCCGGTTTTATGCACCAACAACCATCTTTATAGATGAGATTGACTCAATCTGTGGCCGAAGAGGAACCTCTGATGAACATGAAGCCAGCCGCAGGGTCAAATCAGAAGTCCTGGTTCAGATGGATGGTGAGTGGAATAGAAAGGGAGAAAGTGAAGCTATAAATAGGTTTATAATGGTTTTCTTTCAAGGAAAATAAATACTTTTTAACAAAATTGAAATGCACAAATTGCGAAATTATTCTGCGCTCCAGGTCAAACTTAAAAAAGGTTTTAAAAAAGGCTTACATTTAACCGTGAAGAGCTCTCGCAATTAGCACATTTTAATATAAAAAAGAACAGAATAGTGCTCGATATTAAACTAAAAACAAATTCAGTAATGCATCCTAGATAGATTTAAAGATCGTTTGACATGAATGGGACAGTAATTAGCAGTTTGATTCTGATGTTTTTTTGGGGACCAGGCGTGGGTGGAGCTATGGATAACGATGACCCCTCGAAAATGGTGATGGTCCTCGCCGCCACCAACTTCCCCTGGGACATCGACGAGGCGTTGCGACGGCGGCTGGAGAAGCGGATCTACATCTCTCTGCCCACAGGTGACCTCTGCTCCCACAGACTGACCTCAGAACTGTAGTAGCATTATCAAGGCTACAAACAACCATCCTAATATCCTATTAATGTTGTTTTTGTGTAGCTGTGGGTCGTGTTGAGCTTCTAAAGATCAACCTGAGGGAGGTGGATGTGACTGATGACGTGGATCTGGACCTCATTGCTGAAAAGATTGAGGGCTACTCTGGAGCGGACATCACCAACGTCTGCAGGTGTGTTTGCAGATTTTATTCATATGGTGGGGTGTTCTTTATAGTAAGACAGTTTTTCTTAAATTATATATTTTTTAAATGTGTCGCCTTTCTCCGCCTGGATTTCTTCCAATTCAAAGCCCTTTTGCTGAAAATGATTTCTCATAGTTACTTTAGTTGAACACGTCTCTTGAACACCTGTCCTTGGGTCCTTTCTACCGAAGCTATGCTCGGAATGACAGGCATTTTATGTTGCCGAAGTCTTTTCTGCTCATCTCAGGCTAGCGATGTTTTGTTGCTTGTTGCTTAGTGATCACGGCCTAGTCTCCATCCATTTTAATTGAGCATCAACAGTATAAAATATACATTTACATAAAAAGAGAAAGGCAAAAGCACAAAGTTAAGCTTTTTTTCAACAAACATACCCCACCTCAACCAGGGGGAAAAAAATATCAAACTGAATCAAAGCACACATAAAGGAGGAAGACATAGAAAAGGAAAAGAAAGAAAACTAAACAAATAAGTCATGATGAAAAATAATAACAATCGGGTTCAGATATCTGACCTGTTGTGCCTAATATCAATATGTCTATAGTAAACAGAAAAGGTATCCACATTTTATCCAGGTTCTATTAAGAAGCTGTAAGGGAGAACCTACGTTTTTCCAGCTTTACAACTCTTCAAGAAGGGAAGTTTATTTTAGGTAGCATACTTATAAAACAAAAAGTGTTACATTTGTTTGATCACCCGGCTCCTCTCTGCTCCTGTCTTTTGCTCAGGGATGCGTCCATGATGGCAATGCGTCGTCGAATCCAAGGCCTGACCCCCGAGGAGATCCGAGCTCTGTCCAAAGACGAGCTGCAGATGCCCGTGACCATGGAGGACTTCACCCTCACTCTCAAGAAGATCTCAAAGTCTGTCTCTGCTGCCGACCTGGAGAAATACGTTACCTGGATGTCTGAGTTTGGGTCAGTATAGAGAACGGTGGCGCGTAGACACAGATCAACCAGAGCCTCGAAAAGGAGGACTTTGAAAATGAAGAAAGCATTGAAGACGAGGCACTACTGTATGGGAACCGGGAGGCCCATGAGGGATGAAGATTATATAGAGGGCTCAGACTGCAGAAGACTGGTGCCTTTGAGAGAACATGATGAGAGCTTTCGGTGGCTTCATTCCTGCCTTTCCACATACTCTCCCCTCATTGTAGTAATGACAGAACTGTCTGTACAGAGACTATCAATCGCCCAGCTGCTGACTAACTGAAGTGACCTGAGCAAGAAAGGGGAATCTTTTAATGTCAATAAGTAGCTTAATTCACACAGGTAGACCAGGGAACGGTACTTACATGTTGGGCCTTGTGCAAGAACCTAAATCTAATTCTCTCTAAATCAACCGACAAACTTTGCTCGTAAATTGCATGTTTCAACCTGACGACTGAAAACTTTTTACACTTATGTGAGGCGTGTGTCATTTCAATAATCAACATAGTTTAAATGTCTGAATGAGTTCTGACCTGTTCTGCTCGATTTGATCGGCAATATTTATTAAAAAAACACAACCTACCAAACACAAGTTGTAGTAGTGATATCATCCTGTAATAATTAGACAATCTTACAACAAATTAAACAACAGAGGGTGTTTGCTGGGAAAGCAACCTAAACAAAATTGAAAAATGGTTAGGTTGCCATGCCAAAAAATGCCCATAAAACCTTCAAAAGCCATTGACAGGCCATGATGTAGTTGATTATCATTTAGATTTTACCATTATAATTCGGACTTTCTGGCAAATGCAACAAGTTTTCTTGAATCACATTTTAGTTGCCACATCTGGTAGTACCTGCAATTCTTGTACGAGGCCTTTCTTTTTTTTTTAGGAACAGTAGCACTTTTAATGTACTTCCTTCAGGGGTCCATGTTCTTACTACTGACTGAACACACTTGAAGAACCACAAAGTCTTTGTTGTAAAGTGTCTGTGTATGTGTTTGTGTTTTGTTTTAATTTTTAATAAATAAAATAAACTTGCCTTGCCTTAATATTTGTTTAAAATTGTAGTTCTGTTGATCGACAAATGCAGTCAAGCTTAAAGAAGATGGCTGCTTGACTCCTGGATTGTTTTTTAAATCTCGCCTAAAAACACACCTACTGAATGGTTCCTGTTTTGGAATGTGTTGACTTTCAAACTAAGAATTAACTCAGACAACTTTAACTCAGCGTGAGCAAGACATCTGATTACACATGGAAACATTGTGACAGGGTTAAAAGCTTAGGAGAAACTTATAAATAAATGAATTGGGACTATTTTGTCAAACTATTGCAATATCGTTGATACATTAAACCCATGACGAGAGCTAAGACATAAATGCTTGCACAATAATAGATTTTTACAGTATGATCTGTATTTTCACCATTGGAGTATTTTAGAGATTTGCTTACTTGTTTTAGCAGAAACACTGTTTACCCTTTACCTTTCCTCATTAATGTCATTGATAAGATTTGGTGAGATGCTCTCTTCCCTATTTTGCTTTTGTTTTTTGTTCCTTACGAAGCACTCAAACACTCCTACATTTCTTTTCTAGGTCAGCAGAAGTGCATCTGACATTTGAAATGTCTTTCGACTGTCTATTTCTTTTTCAAATGTGGGACAGATTGTAGACAGAACTCTTCTATGATCAAATTGTTGACCCCTCTTGGCTGATTGTTATTTGTTAAATCTAAAACAGATATAACTGCAGGCTTTATTGGCAAGTACTCTTTGTTTCCAATTACTTTGCAACAAATGCACTCCCTTGAATTATAAGGCGGTTATAAATGATTGGTGAGCGAAAAAGAATAATAAAACAAAACATTTAAGGAAGGAAGCAAAAAAGTATTTTACAAAATATTTGTGGCACAGTCCCATAATCGTTTTGTCCTTATGTTTGCTGGTGTCCTGTTTGCTAATGAAGGAGTTGTAGGATGTGAAGACTCACTCGTTAATCGTTTTTAGACTTGTTTTTCCTCATTCAGGGCAGCATTACACAACATAATAAAGCAAGAATGTATCTCTGTTGAGGAACTTCAAAATGTTTCTCCAAACGGCTTTGGATGGGTGTTGATTCAGCTTAATTTAGGAGACTGTAGTTTGTGACTGTTGAACTGTATTGCATTATACAGAGAGGCTGTTATCCTCTACAATATGATGGCTTTGGTCATTCATCTAATAGGGTGGATACATTTCACAGAATTCCTCGAACCATGTTTTCTGTTCTCCAGACATCATTTCGGGTGTTCATGGTTAATACAATCTCCATGACAAGGGAGCCCCCCCCCCCCCCCCCCACAAGTCTCTGGAAGACCACAAGATGGTGGACAAGGACCCTAAATGGGAAAGAGGTGCAGTGCAGTGCTGGATTGTTTGTTTTACTGATTTTTATAGATGATTGATATGTTTTAAACGTGTAACCCTTGGGCCTAAGAGACCAAGATAGGTTAAGAATTGAGGGGAGATTGATTGATTATTCTAATGGAAATCCCCAACTTAATGTTGCACTTAAGGTGGCCAAGTTTAAAGTATACAAAGGTGGGCCTTTCTTTCTGCTTTTATTTTGTGATTAATTCAATCTGTATGTACTGTGATCACTTTATTATGTGGAGACCTGCATACTGAAAGCTACATTCTTAGTAATACAAGTGTTTGCTTGTAAAACATGATGCAATCAACCAAATAAAGGAAGGGGAACAAGATGACCAACACTAGTCTTAATGTTAGTGAGTGAGTCATCAATATAGTCTTGAGTTTATACATTTCTAATAAGCCATCAGCAAAATTGTGTTAGTTAGTCAGTTAAATGTTTCATATCCTTATTAAATATCCTTAATAAAATATGCCTATAATAAACAATTGATCCATTCATGTGGAATAATAGTGGAGGAACTAACTACACTATTTACCTCTAACAAGTAATAGTGCTGAAAGTAGCATGAAATACCCAACTAAAGTACAAATTACTCCGGATACTTAAGTAAATGTACTTAGTAACTTTCCACCAATGCTACTCTCACACATAAGAGGTGGAAGAATACTCAGATCTTGTACTTAAGTAAAGGTAGAAGTATCAGAGTGAAGGAATACTCTGCATTCAAAATGTTATGCCAGTAAAAGTACGTGTATAAGCATCAACATGTACAAAAAGTAAAAGTACTCATTGTGTAGATTGACCCATTTCAGAAATATATGTATTATATGTTTTGTATATAATTATTGATGCATTATGTGTTTATCACAGATGGTAAAGGTGCAGCTAGATTGAATTACTTAGTATAATTGTTTATATTTCCCATTATTTTTCAAAATCTGCAAAAAACTTAAGGTATTTAATAAATGTAGTAGAGTAAAATAGCACAATCTACCTCTGAATTGTAGTGGGATAGAAGTACAAAGTAGCAAAACATTGACATACTCAAGTAAAGTAGTTCAAGCTCCTCAAATTGTACTTAAGTGCAGTACTTGAGTAAATGTACTTAGTTACTTTACACCACTGCACATAATACATTGGCAAGCCCTTATGAAGCGTTAAGAATACATTTATAGGACATATTATAATTTCCGTGTACTTGCAATAATCGATGCTACCATTAAATATGTCTCCCTTGAATTAGAGATCAATGATCTCAATGGGACCTACCTGGTTAAATAAAGGTTTGAAATGAAAATACGCCATAAATCTCCTTCACTGTGCTGCTGCTGCTGCTGCGCGTGTCCGTGACGCTGTGTCTGCATCAGCGCACGGTTGCAACGCGACACTTCAGAGACGGTTTTCCTCCGTTATTTTATCACAGTGGGTCTACCGTACGCGCCACAATGGAGACTAAACCGGTCATCACCTGCCTTAAAACCCTCCTCGTCGTTTACTCCTTCGTGTTTTGGGTACGTAGCCTTTTCCTTTTTCTATAATATCCCACCGTTATGTGTTGTTTTTTGTGTGCGTGATGAAGGGGTGGACAGTGGCAGCATCATCGACGGATTCATGCTGTGGTGTGAATGTAGCGCTAAATGGAAACCCCTTAATCTTAATGTAGCGTCTAAAATGTGGGTTTTATCGTTTTTTTATTATGTAACTTGTGTTCATACATATTTTGGCTGCGGTCGGTGCAGCATATAGCACACATAGCATCATGGTTGTTGTCTTTAGCGCGGAAGAGGATGTTAACATCAACGCAACGATTTAACTCTGTGTGATGAGACCGACGCTATGGGCCTTGTCTGTTTCATAAGGCCCCTTTAAAGACAATTTTCTCACGCACATTATTGGGGTCGTTGCTATAGATTCTTAAAGGGACCACCTTGCACCCTAAACATATATTCTACCAGACAATGTGTTATTCCTATAGGAGCACTTAGAAAAGGCTCAAACGTGCCTTGATGGTGCATAAAACACAAACACTTGATGGAAGAAGAAGCCAATCATATCCTTTACCTAGGAAACAGTATCAATACCACAGTGTAAAAATACTCTATTACAAAGTCTTTTAAAATGTTATTGAAGTAATAAGTATGCTACACAATTTGCCTATCAATAGCTAAATGTAGCTATAGTGTCAAAAGTAAAAGTACTTATTTTGCAGAAAGCCCCCCTGTGAGTTCATATTCTTTTTGTGATGACGATTGTTAAGATGTAAGCAGCATTTTCATGTTTTTGATAATAACATATATTTGGATATTTGAATGCATAATCCTGAATTTCCCCAAAGGTCCATCTCATCTCATCTCATAATATATGGTTATGGATTTATAAGTAGACATTTAATAACCTAAATCTACAAAGAAACTAGTTACAGTCCAGGCAAAACGGTATTTTAACCATGGAATGTAATTTAAATACAATAGTAAATACTGCATTTAACACAGTACAAATACTTTAATTTAAATGCTCAGGTAATGTTGAGATTATTACCATTTCTTTTTTTGTTGGCCCTAAACATTGAGGCTGTACTTTGTGGTTGCATTTTACAATACAACATTGTACTAAAGGTAACTTAGAGTTATTTTTCAATTATCCGTGAATCTACCACAATATTGTTTGGTTTAAGATTAGAAAATAGTGTCAAAATGGCCATCACAATCTTCCTAAGTGTTAAATAACATCAAGAAATGTGTGTTTTTTGTCCAGTTAAATAAAATGTGAGATAAGGACACAAGGTCAAAAGAAAACAAGAAAAGAAAATGCCCACAATGTAGAAGATTCATAAAGCATTGCTTGATAAAGGACTGAACTAATGGCCAGTTTTCCAATGTTTTGTCCACATAAGAAATAATTGGTACTTGCCAGCTCCCAATAATTATATTTTTCGACGAACAAACATCAATGTGAACAAAAGCCAAGGAACTTTTTTTCGAGATCTTGCAAATCCGAGATGACTCCCTCTCATTATCCTTTGTATGCTGTCTTTGTCCTGCACCTGTACCCAGCTGGGGTTGGACATGTGTACTGTCCACCTTCTTTGTGTGATATTTTGTCCACCTCATTTACATATTGAACAAAAAACACCAGACCCGCCCTACAATATCATGCAAAACATGGCACCACAAAAGCCTCTGGAGAATTTTTCACCAAGGCTTATTAAGCTGCAAAGCCTTGCTCTCATTGGAAATTGATAAAAATGCTGTATTCACAATGCTGAGCGAGCAGCATATAGCAACACTCGTTTGAAGAATAGGTTCTGCTCCTTTTTTCCCTTTTAATTAAGGCTCTTTGTTATTGAGTGTCCTCGGGATTTAAGCCAGAAAATCACTCCAGAAAGCATTTCTCAAAACCAATAAAGTTGGGATAAATCACTTTGAGGATTAACTTGAGAAGAGAAATAGTATTTTCTTATTCTCTGTTCGGTATTGAGTAGTTTGGATAAGTCTGTGTTTACATTTCAAATACCTGCCGAGTCTTCACGGATGATAAAGCAACAATAGTATCTTACACAACATACGACCAGAATACTCAGTGACTAACTCACAAGCAGCTTGATTAACTTAGTCATGTTTTGACCATAATTCTGTGTTAAGGCTGATTTGTGATAGCTGCCAGGCACAGCGAAGGGTAGGATCATCTAATGAGAACATGTGGAAGAGATTTATCTGGCCCTAATGCGTTTAGGACCTGAAGAG